CACTCGCATAGCAATTTTTTAGTTAGTGGGGTTTACAGAAATTACCTGAAACCCATACTCAGCTTGCTAACCCCCCTCCCCCTGCTCCTGTGCCTTTAATCGCAGCTCATCTACATTTGTATGTATTGTGTTGTCAAATTGCTTCCAACTGATGTTGACCCTATGAATTAATGACCTCCAAAACATCCTATCCTCAACAGCCTTGCCCAGGTCTCGCAAACTGAGGGCTGTCAGGCTTCCTTGATTGAAGAAGAGATTGGATTTATACCCCGCCCTTCACTCGGAGTCTCAGAGCAGCTTACAATCGCCTTTCCTTCTTCTCCCCACAACCGACACCCTGTAAAGCAGGTGGGGCTGAGAGAGCTCTGAGAGAACTGCTTTTGAGAGAACAGCTCTGAGAGAACTTGTGACTGACCCAAGGTCACCCAGCAGCTGCATGTGGAGGAGGAGTGGGGAATCGAACCCAGTTCTCCAGATTAGAGTCCGCCGCTCTTAACCACTACACCAAACTGGTCTATGTACCCAATCATTATCACCCGCTCCTCTCCACACCAAAAGCTTCATTGGCAGATTTCTGCCAATCAAGCTGCTGTTTAAAGGCAGTACAAGTGCTGGAATTTTTTTGTTAAAAAAAATTATTTGGCAACCTTGGCACATACTTCAGCAATACAGCAAGCATTCTGGTCTTCTAGCAGTAATCAACGAGTCAAAAGGGGAATTTCGGTATATTCATTTTTACCGTTCCCTGCATGACAAACAGCATTTTCCTGGATTCGTCACTATCAGAGGCAGACTGACTTACAGGGGGAAGTTCTTCCCAGGCTGCTACTAGCTGGTGACTAACTAAGCCAAGCCCAGACTTGATGAGGACACTCATGTGGGTGAGCTGACCATTGCTAACACTGTTGGCCTGGTCTGAGCTGACGCTGCCAGGTTGTTTTAATGTCCCCGTCTGCTCATGTTTACAAGTATTAAGGGAACGGGAGTTGAAGCCTTCTGTGCATCTGGCCCCTCTTGCTTGCCGTACCTCCACAGTCCTATGCCTTGGCCTTTCTCCGGAAGTCAAAACACAGCCATCCCACCTTTTCAAACAGTTTCTCCCAGTAACAACCCTTTTCCTTGATGTCATTTATCTCGGGCCAAAAGGGAAGGTGAGCCGACTCTCTTCCTAAAGAAGAAACTAATTACATTTGCTTAATTCTCACCCAGAAGATCTCAGTTCCCTTGGTGCCCTTCTGCAAGAGGAGTCATGTCACATTCTGGCAGATGGCGGGCTGGTTTGATGACTAAGGGGCTTCATCCCCAAACCACTTAAGGATGGCTTTGACATACGTTTGTCATCTCTGTTTCAACTCCCCGTTTTCTCACTCTTTTGTTATTGCAAAGGCCTGGTGCTCTGATTCAGAAACAAAAGCCATGAGCAGCACTCATGCCACTGAATCATGCGGCACAACTTTTGATGAGCTGTGCCACTTCAGAGTGCCAGTGGGAGACAGCGCACGGGAATGTTCCTGCATAATAAAAAGCCTTACAAAGCTAGTATGTCAAGGAGAAGGACAAAAACCCAGGTTCAAATCCCCCCTCAGCCATGAAGCTGAGGTAGTCACATCGTCCTAGGCTAAACCACCTCAGAGGAGTGTTGTGGGGATAATATGACAGTGCAGGAAACTGAACTTCTCAGAGGGAAGGGGAGTAAAAACAAGTCAAGGTGGTGTTTGCAATTTTGATCCTCTTTCATTCTAGAGGGTTAGTGTTCTACTAGGTTACCAAAACCCAGGCCTGCCCCTTGCGAGAGTTGGACCATAAGGAAGGCTGAGTGCCAAAGAATAGATGCTTTTGAATTATGGTGCTTATAAAGTACTGAAGCTGATGTGTTGCAGAGTGATTACAGCTCATACTTTATTAGTTACATTCCAATCCTGAGATGATTTCACCGGCTCACAGGCTGGTTTATATTCCTGAGTCACACCACACCCACATCCGTGATAGGATATTTACAGTGCACCCCCTAGACCCATAGGCCCCTTCTAGGATCCTAGCCTCCCAACAGGTGTGCGCTAGGATCCGTTCTGGCTATTGTCTTTGGAGATGAAGCCTGTAGTCTTAGTCGCCCCCGGTCCATGCGGCGCAGCACCTCCTTCGTTGTTCTGACCATGCGTTCCACCTGGCCGTTGGTTGCAGGGTGGAAGGATGCGGAGAGGGATGTGCTTAATCCCATAGTACTCCACAAATTCCAGAAACTGAGAGGAAGTAAAGACGGTACCATTGTCAGTGACTAGTGAGTCTGGTATTCCGTGTGAGCTGAAAATCTGCCACATCACTCTGATGGCGGACCGAGACAAAGTTGAGGGAATGGGCGTCACCTTCAGCCATTTTGTGTAGGCATCGACCAGAATGAAAAAGATCTGGCCCTGGAAGGGCCCGGCAAAGTCCAGGTGGAGTCTTGCCCATGGCTTGTGGGCTTTCGGGGGCTCGGGCCGCGACTCTTGGCACTTCTGGAACCACTTAACAGTATCCTCTGTCTCGCTGTCTAGCCCCGGCCACCATACATAGCTCTGGGCCAGGGCTTTCATCCTCACTATCCCAAGGTGGTGTTTGTGCAAAGCAGTGAGTACACGGCTTTGCAGAGGAGGCGGTATCAACACCCAACTTCCCCATAGCAAACATCCTTTGTGAGAAGACAGCTCATCCCGGTGGCCAGCGAACACTGAGATCTCGGGACCCATCTGGCCCGTATGCCACCCCCTCCCCACCCAGTCAAGAACCCAGGAGAGAATGCGATCCCGGCCCGAGTGGCACACCACCTCCCCCACTTGGACCGGGCGATCGGGCAGGTCTTCCAGCAAGGTGATGTGGTGGGCTGGCACGGGGTCGGAGGAGGGCAGCAGGAGGTGGCTTAAGGTGTCGGCATGCCCCATCGCTTTACCAGGGCGGTGGACCAGCGCATATTGGTATCCCACAAGGAAGAGAGACCAGCGGAGCACCCTGGGCAACAAGATCTGGGGGGATTGGCAGTCCAGAGCGAGCAAACTCAGCAGGGGCTTGTGGTCCGTGACTATAGTGAACATCCGGCCATACAGAAAATTGTGAAATTTCTTCATGCCGGCAATGATTGCAAGGGCCTCCTTATCAATCTGCTCGTAGTTGTGCTCCGCGGCCGAAAGCGTGTGAAAATAGTAAGCTACAGGAACCTCGCAGCTGTCAGCCAGCCGGTGCCCCAAGACCACCCCCACCCCGTAGGGAGATGTGTTGCATGCCAAAACCATGGATAGGGCCTCGTCGAAATGGGCGAGGATGGCGTTAGAGACCAACAGGTCTTTGACTGCCCGGAAGGCGTTGTCGTGAGCAGGACTCCAGACCCAAGGAGCCTGCTTGTCTAAGAGCCTGTGCAGTGGTTCCGCTATGGTGGCTTTGTGGGGGAGGAAAGAATGATAAAAATTCAAGAGCCCCAGGAAAGCCTGTAGTTCCGCCTTTGACGAGGGTGTGGGTGCTTGACGGATGGTGCAGATTTTGTCCTGTGTGGGGTGAATCCCGTGGGCATCTACAGCAAACCCCAGGAATTCCACCTGGGGCACTCCCAGGATGCATTTCTCCTGCTTCACCTTGAGACCTGCGTTGGTGAAGCACTCGAGCACGGTCCGGAGCCATGCCGCAAAGGTCTTGAAGTCCAAAGCCACAATCAGCACATCATTTGAGAAGGTAATCCATCATGTTTTGAAAAATTTCTCTGTGTTACTATACCCCAAATTGCAAGTGCCGTACCCTGAAAGCCCCCCTGTGTGTTACTATTGTTTGAGCCTCAGCTGAGGCGTCGTCAACCGGCAGCTGCTGATAGGCCTGGGCCAAATCTAGCTTGCCAAAAACCCTCGCTCCCGCCAAGGAAGCCAAGACTTGGCTGACCACCGGTACCAGGTATGCGTGGTCTTGAAGTGCCTTATTAATAGTGCACTTATAGTCTGCACAAATGCGTACGTCCCCATTCGATTTTAACGGGGTTGTTGTGTATGCAGACCGCCACCGGGGGGCCAGCGGTCAGCCAGAATTGCCAGAGCTTGACTCTGGGATAACAATAGGGACTAGCCTCCTAGTCCCTCCACTGGGGAGCCAATGGGAACCATGGCGGGAGATTCAAACCCACCAATGGTGACCAGGGGTGTGTCCCCAGGGATGTATATAGTTGGCCCCTGGGCCATTGTTCCTCTCTTCTTGCTGTGTACCTAATAAAGCGTGCTATGCACTACGTCGTCGTCTGTCGTTTCTCCATGCGGCAACCCACAACATAATAGGGGTGATGATGGGGGTTTCCCAGCAGGCGGGCGGCACGGATTCTAACACCCCCTGCTCAACCAGGCATTCCAGTTTGGTTTCTATCTTGGGCCGCAGTGCTAACGGGGACCACCTGGCCTTCATCCGGATCAGCCGCACCGCAGGGTCAAGGTCCAGGGAAACTCGGGGTCCAGAGTATTGGCCCAGTGTGCCATTGAACACTCCCAGAAATTCCCCGCAGACTGTGTTAAAGTCCTGAGGTCGTACGAAGTGGATGCCCGTCACTGCAAAACCCAGGGGCCCAAACCATGCAAGTCCCAACAGTCTATTGAGTTTCCCTTCCACCATCAGCAATTCTAAAGGGCCGTCAAAGTCTCTGAATTTTACCTTGAATCTGCCCCTGCCCTTGATGGCCACAGGGTTTTTCTGGAAGTCCCGCAAAGACAAACCCCGTGGCTTTTCCAGGAGGGGTCCCCCCTCAGGGCAGAGTTTCTGTAGAGTCTCCGCTGAGATAATGGAACATGAGGAGCCCGTGTCAAGTTCCATGCGACAGGGGGACCCTTTGATTAATACCGTTATATGCATCTTATTAGGGGCATTAGGGGGCAGATTCAGTACCTTGTGGTGGTGGTTGTCAATGTGTGCAGATCCAGGCCCTCCTGGTGAGCAGATGTTGCTTTCCAATTTCTGCGGGATTGGCAGGTGCTGACATTGTGGCCCTGCTTTCCACACGTTCAGCAGACGGCATCACGGAAGCAGCATGTTTTGCGCTCGTGTGAGTCCCCGTAGCTGGCACAGGACGCTTGGGAGGCTTGTGTTCCTTGAGGAACGGTGGCCCCGGCCTGGGGTTGGGGCTTCCGATGGCTGGGTTGGCAAACTTGTAGGACCTCATCTTCATCTGAGTTGTCGGACGTCGCAGCAGGTAACACATGGTGCAATGAAGATGGAGGATGGTCCTGGTGTGAGCCCTCGTATGCAGTGGCCATCTGGAGGGCTCCATCTATCTTGAGGTCAGCGGTGCCTACCAGTTTGTGACCGAGTTTCACGTCCTTTAGACCCCATACGAATTGTGTCAGGATGTTCTCTTTCACCATCGTGAATCCACAATTCATTGCGTGTTGGTGGAGGTCAGCCATGAAAGCGGCAGCTGTCTCACTGAGCTTTTGGAGGCGCACTTGGAAGTCCATGTGCTTGGCCATCGTTGTGGGCTTTGGTGCGTAGTTCCTTGTTAAGGCTGCAACGATCTCGTTGTAGGTATTTTTCAGGAGTGTTTTGGGTGCCAGGAGGCTTTTGGCGAGCCGAATGGTGGCCACCCCACATGTGCTGAGGAGTAGCACCCGTTTCTTGCCAGCATCGGTGACCTCATGGTAGGTGAAGAAGCAGGTAAGCTGGTCTACCCACGATTCCCAGAACTCAGGGTGTGTGGGGTCGATGACCTCGAGGTGTCCCGGAGCAACAGCCATGACCCTTGAGTGAAGGGGGGAGCGGTGTTCAGGGGAGCAGGACGCATTGCAATGCTGCTCGATGCTCGGTGCTGTGCTGGGTGAAGAGTCAGGCTCGCTCATTGGGATCCCACCTTCGTTGCCAGTATAAAGTACTGGGGCTGATGCGTTGCAGAGTGATTACAGCTCATACTTTATTAGTTACATTCCAATCCTGAGATGATTTAGCCAGTTCGCAGGCCGGCTTATATTCCTGAGTCACACCACACCCACACCCACACACACACACCCATGATAGAATATTTACACTGCACCCCTAGACCCATAGGTTCCTTCTAGGATCCTAGCCTCCCAATACATGCACGCTAGGATCCATTCTGGCTATTGTCTTTGGAGACGAAGCTCCAGCCCTTTGCCTGACCACGTGTTGACCTGACCGCATGCGCAGACTTTCCTGGGTACACAACAGTGCTGGGGAAGACTCTTGAGAGTCCTTTGGACTGCAAGGAGACCAAATAAGTCAATCCTAAAATAAATCAATCCTGGCGGGATCTTGTCCACGGACTCGACTGTGCGACTCAACAACAACAACAAAAAGAAATCAACCCTGACTGTTCCCTGGAAGGCCAGATACTGAAGCTGAAGCTCAAATACTTTGGCCACCAAATGAGAAGGGAGCACTCACTGGAGAAGACCCTGATGCTGGGAAAGATTGAAGGTCAAAGAAGAAGGGGACAGCAAAGGATGAGATGGTTAGACAGTGTCATAGATGCAACGAACATGAAATTGAGCAAACTCCGGAGGATGGCAGAAGACAGGAGGGCCTGGCGTGATATAGTCCACGGGGTCGCAAAGAGTCAGACTCGACTATGTGACTGAACAACAACAAATTTATTTAAATATTTATATCCTGCCTTTCTTTGTGATTCAAGGTTGCTTACAATAACAGTCAAAAACATTTTCCAAAATAAAATAGCTAGTAACCTTCAATAATAGTTGCCAGTAGCCTTCTGTTACTGTCCCGTCGGGGGGGGGGAATACATTTTAAATGAACAGCAAAGGGAGGAAAAAAAACACAGATGTTTGATTTTGCTTAAATATATTCATCACACTGCCAGAAAGTGTTGGCACCAGTGCATTGTGGGAAACCACAGCAAATCCCTTCCGGTTCATACCCTTTCACGGAAAATACCATTGTCAGCTAGGCCTCTGGCTATGCTAGCTGCCAAGGAGTGAGGGGGTGACTCTGGAATTTTGACTTTCATTTCTGCTGTGTCTTCAGTGTTTCCTTTATCTATGTAACCGAAACTTTTGACCTTGAATGGCTGGTGCTGTCTTTCTCCTGGGAATTATAGCCTGTTACTTTGGTGGACTTTTACCTGGCCTTTGATTGGCCCTGAGCCATCAAGGGACCCTCTTGAATAATGTATATCAGCTTGCTTTGCGTGCTTTATGCCAGTTCTAACATGAAATGGTTAAGATATCTGCATACTCTCAGTGTCTCAATAAACTTTACTTCTTTGAATGAAAGCTGTTGGGAACTGATTGCTGCAGGAATCTGACAACCATAACTGCTAGAAAACTGTGGAGGTGAAATCATACCAGCCCAAGCTTGGTTATTGGCTAACAGCAAAATGTGTAGATTTCAACACTTAAGTCCAGAGCTTAACCCTTTTGTCTGCATTAACAGGTGATGGTGGGAATGCACCCACCATTCTAGATAGCAACACCTGCACTGATTCTCCACGTAACCATGTCTAGGGCCTGTTGAATGGACCTCAGAGAGATCAGGAGTCAGACGTCAGCCTAGCCAAGTCACCAGCTTTCTGTGCCGAACACAAAACATAACAGGCGACCCAAGAAACATCATGCGCTCCCCAGAACAATGGGAGGCTCTTGGCACATAGGTCTGATTGCGTCACAGATGCTGCAAGCAGCTGGGAGCGCATTGGGGAGGGGAGGAAGGCACCAGAAGGATCCATCTCCAATCCAACCCACCTGCCCCATGGGTCTCCACTGTCTTAATTTGAGCTTTCAATAAAGACACATTAAATCTGGGTTTGCTCTCTCGATGCCTGCGTGGCCTCTCGGCAGAACAGGCTCAACTTCCCCAAGATACCATTCTATCAAAATTCCACAAGCAATTAAGACATAATTAGCTTCTTTTGGAGAGAGAAAAAGAGGCATCTGAGACCAAAGCAAAGTTGTTCCGTCTTAATGACAGTTCAACATCAACGCTGTTGAAAATTAATCTCATGTTCTGCTATAATTAATTAATAGTTCCCTTTGCCTATAGCGGTGTGGGTGTGAACAAGTGATAGTAGATGTAGCTGTTTGATCAGGGACAGGCCTGTTTGTTATGGACATGCCTCCCACAGTGATAATTCTAGCCCATAGTAGCAGGAGTACAGGACCACCTTAAAAACTAACCAGATTCATTCCACCACGAGCTTTCAGGAATCAAAGCCTACTTCATCAGGACATAGTTTAATTCAGCGTATAAGCTTTCTGAAGAAGTGTGCATGTACCCGAAAGCTTATACCCAGAATTAAACTTTGTTGCTCTTAAAGGTGCCACTGGACTAAAACTTTGTTCTATTGCTTCAGACCAACTTGGAAGAAGTGTGCATGCACACAAAAGCGTACTTTGTTGGCCTTAAAGGTCCAGTGGACTCAACTTTGTTCTATTGGTATCTGAAGTGTACATGCACCTGAAAGCTTATGCCCAGAATTAAACTTTGTTGGTCTTAAAGGTGCCGCTGGACTCAAACTATGTTCTATTGCTTCAGACCAACACGGCGACCCACCTCAATCTATCTTCATCAGATGCATGATGCATATAGCCAGTGTGTCAGACTACTGGGTGACTTAAGGCCAGTCACACATACAAACAGCCAACTCACGGGGCCAGTTTGGCTGGGGATCCTGGAGGTTTTTTGTCATATTTTGGGGGGGAGGTATTTATGTATTTCCTGCATTGTGCAGGGGGTTGGACTAGATGACCCTGGAGGTCCCAACTCTACGATTCTAGGGTTGCTGTGAGGATAAAATGAAGGAGAGGAGATTCCAATAATCTGCCTTATGGGGAGAAGGTCAGGGTATAATTGAAATAAATAAATAAATAAATCCAGGGGTCTTTGGGGGCCGGAGCGGGCCGGAGCCTCTCTCCCTCCCTCCCTCCCTCCCTCCCTCCATCCATCCATCCATCCATCCATCCATCCATCCATCCCTCTCTTTGCCATCTTTCCCTCCTTCCTTTTCTTTCCCTCCTTTTCTTTCTCTCTT